ATATTATACCATAAAAACATTTTTCTTGAATGGTCCTATACGACAGATTTTCCAGTGGAAAGAACAAAATAACACCTTGACTCCACAGTTAAGTAGACAAGACCCAGTTCAGGGAATGCAACACACACAGTCATCGGTGAAAATTCTGGACAGATTTTCCAGTGGAAAGAACAAAATAACACCTCGACTCCACAGTTAAGTAGACAAGACCCAGTTCAGAGAATGCAACACACAATCTCGGTGAAAATTCTGGACAGATTTTCCAGTGGAAAGAACGAAATAACACCTCAACTCCACAGTTAACGAGACAAGACCCAGTTCAGGGAATGCAACACACACAGTCTCGGTGAAAATTCTGGACAGATTTTCCAGTGGAAAGAACAAAATAACACCTCCGACTCCACAGTTAAGTAGACAAGACCCAGTTCAGGGAATGCAACACACACAGTCTCGGTGAAAATTCTGGACAGATTTTCCAGTGGAAAGAACAAAATAACACCTCGACTCCACAGTTAACGAGACAAGACCCAGTTCAGGGAATGCAACACACACAGTCTCAGTGAAAATTCTATTTTCGACTACTGATCAGAAGATCATGCTGTGCCAGCATAATAAATATCCAATAATAATAACTGAAGAATTTTTAAATGATCGACACATTAAATGATCGACAAGTATTGTATTTCCAGTTCAATGAAGAAGCTCTGGTATAAAGTGAAAGATCTCTCAATATTAGCACGCAGTTGAGATGCTATCATTCTTACAAGTAAAGAAATTCTTATCAGCCTTATCGTGATGTACAGTCACGTTTAAAAACAAAGTATTTTAGCAACAGTGGACATAAAACTTAATGTGACCTTCATAAAATTACTGTAAAGCCTAATTAATACAATCAACTTAACAAAAAAACCTGATGTTTAAAGCTAAAAGTGGAGTTTTGTTAACACAATCACTGTTGAATTGGACAAGCAACTATAATAATACTTGGATAAACATTTTAATCTGATCACGATACAAGAAGTGCACATTATGGATAACTCTAGCATAGCAATGAAAGTTAAACTAACCGAGTTAGAGCTTTTACAATTACAGAATCTATGTTAAGGTACAAAAAATTATCATAACTCGCAAGATAACGTGCCTTTCTTCAAGTTTCAAAGTATGTAAAACTACTGACTTACAGCGAAATTCCTATAAATCCTTTTACTTGTAATAATCCCCATGAAACTCCAATAATTATGCCAATCACCTGTCTGGCCCAATAAATAATATCAAGGAATTCATCCTGAAATAGATAAAGACATTTATTTATTTTGATGTAAACAAAAAAACATAATTGTTTGAATACTTCAAATTTAAAATAGTAAATTTAGTACTTTAAATAGTAACAAGTTATAAATGTTAATGTTAGAGACATTATTTTATTAGTAAACAGTAGAGACATTATTTTATTAGTAATTGCAATGTTTTCAATTGCTTCTCTACTGCCTTGTATGTTATTCCTAACTCCTTTTTCTTGTGGAATGGTTTCTTCAAATATTGCTTGAAATATTAAAGAAAATTGTCTCTGCAATGGCCTGTTGCACAAATTTAAATAGGGCATATGTAAGACTGATAGTGATAAACTTATCAGTGCTACGAACAGATCTACAGCTAAAACTGACTGGACAAGACAGTGAAAAAAATCTGTTTTTAAGGGAATAAAAAATAGGAGGATAGTAAACACATGACAATACTTTGTTGAAAAATGTGACACTTAAAATTAATCGTTTAACGTATTTAGCTTATGACAAAGTCTACTAAGAATTCGCGCAAAACATAATACAGCTCAGTGCCAATAGTAACTAACTCTGTACAAAGTGCTTTAACTTGCACGAGTTAGTTCAAACAAGTAGTCTACACAGAATAGTGTTAATCAGCCTATACGATTTAGTCCAATAAATCAAACATTTTAGGCTTTATTTTCTTAAAAAAAAAGATACTGGGATATTTCAACGTACATCAGCTTATATTAGAACTATAATATTAATAATACCTTATCAGGCCATTTAGATCCTGGTGTTGTTGCACGAATCCATAAGGAAGGTAAGACGTTTTTTACACTACCGTTTCGTTCATTTGGCTTTCGCTTTTGTATCATTTTATATACTCAATAAAGAAATGATAATCTTAAATAAACTTTAAAACATTAGAAATATAAGTAAATGTATTCTATTACAAGTAATTTATTGGAAATCTTGCGAATGATAAAGCCACATCGAACAGCACTCCCCTGAAGATCTATCACGCCATCTACACAATAGTGTATTTAAATAACGTAAAAGCGGCACCTATTACATATATTATTTAATTATCGAAACAAACTAAAAATTAATATGCATTTTGTTCTATAATTATGAAACTCATTATAAACGAACTTGTCGAAAGTAACAGAATATTTAACGTATATTTCATTCAATAAGTATGTTACAAATTTAATGATTGCCGTAGATTGCAAAAAAAAAAAAAAACACTCAGTAAATAATGATCTGAAATAAAAAACAAGTACTGAAAACTTCTACCCAGTTACAATCAGTGAAAATAAACCTTTTTTTGGATTTTACTCTCAAAATATTATGTTCATATTTAAATTATTTAGCTGAAATAACCAAGTTTCGGTAAATAATATGTACAATCTAAGTTTCGCAACCTGTTATAACAAGCTCCTGGAATATGGTCTTATAAATTGAACTGTGTATGTGAACCTTTTTGAAAATAAATATAATCCATAAATACAAATATCATTAAATGGATTTTAATGGCAATACGAGTCAGTTGAAACAGATACTAAGTTACAACTAATCATCTAAAGGCTCATACTAAATGTTTACAACAATTCATACTTAGGACTTGCAAACATATTTTAGTTATAAGAATATTTGTCTCCAAGTGCACTCTAAAAATATCAGTTCCTCTTATCAACATGTGAAAATTATATAAAATTTCGAATGTAACTAAAGGACATAACGTACCCAGAATTTATTCACTTTCTCAAAAAAAAAGGGGGTGGTGGAATATGACTCAAAAATATTTAAGACATAATTCTTGAGTCCATTAAAAACATAACATATATGGGAAATAGATAAGTCTGTTTGTTTGTAATTAAGCACAAAGCTACACAATGGACTATCTGTACTCTGCCCAGCACGGGTATCGAAACCCGGATTCCAGCGTTATAAGTCCACGGACATACCACTGTGCCAGTGGGGGGGGGGGGGGTAAATAGATAAGTCTATTTGTTTGTAATTAAGCACAAAGCTACACAATGGACTATCTGTACTCTGCTCAGCACGGGTATCTAAACCCGGACTCCAGCGTTATAAGTTCACAGACATACCACTGTGCCACTGGGGGGGGGGGGGCAAATAGATAAGTCACAGAATTATGGGAAAATGACAACCGGAACATTTTCTTAAAAATCTTCTTCGTTCTTCGCCTTGGAGAAGAGAAGTTTACTTTCTGAAAGCGCTCGATTTATTAGGTTATTGCTACATTATTAAATATTTTGTTCATTCCTTTTTATTTATTTATTACTCGCATATCACAGATGACGAACTATTTTATCTGTTGTCGTATCGCATAGTGTCTTCTGCTGCTTTCTCTGCCCACAATAATGACGTGGTATTATAAACTTAACTAGCCGATTAATATTGATATATTGAAGATCATAGTTTAGCGATATTACTGTGTGGTAAGTAGACGTCGATTTAGGCTAAAATGTCCTACAGGCGACATACCCCTAAAAGTATTAGGTCGTCAAGAAATTAATGTCGCGTTTCGGAACACTTTTATTAACCACCCCCCAAAAAACATACATCACGTATAATACTTAAATGAACGGCCTAAACGTTACGTTGGTGTAGCCTATATAATGTGTAAAGTTTAGTATATCCTAATCTTTTATAATGATGGCACACGACGAGACACCAATTCAGCATGTAATGATGTTTGAATACACGAAGGAAAACAACGCTTTTGTAGCTACAAAGAATGTCAAAGAAGTTTATGGAAATGTTTTGAACGTTCGTAAGTGTCAACGATGGTTCAGCACATTTCATTCAGGTGACTTTAGCCTTTAACACTGATGGCAGAGGCCGACATGTTGGAATTGATATTGGTGCTCTGAAGATTTGTTGAGTCTAACCCATGGCAACACACTCGTGAAATGGGGCTGAAATTGCATGTCTCTCATGACACAATACGTAAACATCTAAGGAATATGGGGAAAATCCATAAAGAAGGTGTTTTGGGTCCTCACTAACTCTCTGATGATCATCGTTTCCAACATGTGAACATTGCTTCGTCTCTTC